CTCTCCAGGCCTCCATGCAGTGACTTTTTTTTTTTTTTTTTACTTTAAATTTTTTTTTTATTGCGAAAAGAAGAAAAAAAAACATAAACAAAAAACAAGTTTCCACCTCCTCCCAGCCTCCCATTTCCCTTCCCCTCCTCCCACCCTTCTCCCCCTCCTCCCACCCTTCTCCCCCTCCTCCCACCCTTCTCCCCCTCCCCCCACTCCTCTCCCCCTCCCTCTCCAGTCTTAAGAATAGAGAAAGATTCCACAAGCCAGTTCCTATATCCTTTTTGGCTCCAAATCCAGAACCATGTGGCAGAAGCTGCCAGGTTCTGTTGCTTGTTGGGGCTATAACCTGGGCACCTCCTTGAATTACATTTGCACATGATTTCTGTTGTTTAGGACTAGGAAATCATCAGGATGTTCCACAGTTTTGTAGAATCAGCTGGGTGAGGTCTTGTTTTGAGGTTACCACTCTCTTTATTCCATTCAGCACCAAGCTTTTCTTTAAACTTTTCATCTCCTTGAACATAAGCCTTGGCTCCATGTTACACTTCCTGGTGCCCCCTTTCCCTCAACTAAAGTTCTGTACTTGTCTTTGCCCTGTTTGTTTCTTTTCTCTGAAGATCTGCATAAGAACTAGTATGTCCTGAAATCTTCTCTGTAAAAGCCATTAATCCTAAACTCTTCAAGTTTCGCCTCAGGAAGATTTCTAGGACAGGGACAAAATCCAGCCACATTCTTTGCCAGAATATCCCCAAAATGGTCTCTAGGCCAGCTGATAATATTCTTCTTCTCTGAAACTGCTTAAGCTGGATCCCCACAGTCCACATTACCCCCAGCAGCACTGTCTTCCATGCTGCTACTCGGGTTAGCCCATAAATCCCCGCTTAGAAGCACGCAACTGCTTTTCTAGCCCAAAGTGTAAAAATCTTTCATCTTCCTCCAACAAAATAGCTTGCACAGGCCTGTCACAGCAATATGCCACGCCCTGGTGCCAACTTCTGTCTTAGTTACTGTTTAATTGCTGTGAAGAGACATCACGACCACTGGAACTCAAAAACAAAACAAAAGAAAGGCTTTAACTGGGGGCTTGTTTATAGTTTCAGAGGGTTGGTTCATTATCATCATGATAGGAAGCAGACAGGCATGGCGCCAGAGCAGTACCTGAGAGATTTACATCCTGATCTATAGGGAGCAGGCAGAAAGAGAAAAACTGGGTCTGGTGTGGGCTTTTGAAACATCAAAGCTCACCCCCAGTGACACAGTTCCCCCAACAAGGCCACACCTACTGTAACAAGGCTACATCTTCTGATCCTTCTCAAGTAGTTCCACTCCCTAGTGACTAAGCATCAAATATATGAAACTATGGAGGCCATCTTTTTTGAAACTATGACAACAGTGTTCCAGCTGGCCCCTCACCAAACTGTGAGCATCACAACAATGGCAGATTTTGATGTCATGCAAGTAACATCTCAAAAGAAATAACTATGGTGGCTCTGCTGTGCTAGACTTTTAGAGACCTATCTCAGGTCACAGATAAAATAATTCCTCCATCTCTGAGACAATTTCATCATAGTCTAGTGAAGGGTATGGCATAGGATTACCCAACTGGGGATGGTGGGATGGCTTGATATCTATTATATGACTGTTTTTAAATCCTTTACTATATCTATGTCTATATGTATTTCTGATTGACACATGTTTTTATACAATGTATCCCTGAAGCCTTGACTCTTCTTTGACTGTTGAAAACTTTTTTCTTTAAATTTTCTCTCTCTTCTCCTTATTACATTTCTTTTTTGTTTTGTTCAGTGAGGACCTCTTCCTTTGTTATTTTACTGTTTTGCTCAGGGTAGCAAAGCAGTAGCCAGTGTAGGTTTTAGAGTCAGAAGACTTAGGTTCAGATCCCAGCTGTTACCTATCAGCTACATTACCTTGAACACAATTAAATTAATAAATTATTTAATTTCTAGTGTCCTGAGTTACTATCTTCTATAAACTGGGGATAGAAACAGGACTGCCTTCTAGGGATTTTGGAAGATTTAAATGAAATGATTCATAAAATGCTCAGAAAAGAGCATCCAATACTCAGTGACTTTAAACCCTTTCTAATTTCAGTATTGCTAATTGTATTAGTTAATTGTCCCATTGCTTTGCATGACAAAATTCCTTGACAAAGTAACTTCAGGAAAGAGGGAAGGTTTGTTTTGGCTCAATCTGCAGGTCAAGGCTGTCATTGCAGGGAAGGTATGGATGGTGGTCGGAGTTTGAGGTGGCTGCTCACTCTGTTTCTTAGCCAGGAAGCAGAGAAACACGAGTACCTGTATTCAGTGTACTTTGTCCTTTTTATTCTGTCCAAGACCCCAGTTCACAGACAGCTCCTTGAGTTGAGGGTTGAGTCTTCCCGCTGCATTTAAGCCAACCTTGATAATGCCTCAGAGGTGTGCCTGGAAACTTGTCTCCTAGTGATCCTGGAGCCTTGAAGTTGACAGTCAATATTAGCCATCATGTTAATAGTAAAATATTTCTTTTTATCTTAAGCTATTGCCTCAGTGTAGATGACAGTCAGTCAAGTAGTCACCTCTGATTGTAATATTTCTTCCACACTTCAGTGTTTGGCTCATTTCTTTCATAATATCACAAATGAAATATGCAAGATCTAGATCTATAATTTCTGACCTGACTTATTCTATTTTGTTCCCCCACATTCTCTTGATGGTGTCACAATAGAATTTTCATAGTCCCTTAATTTTGAATTAATCTTAAGTTCTTTTATTTATTTATTTATTGAAAAAAAATTTCCGCCTCCTCCCAGCCTCCCATTTCCCTCCCCCTCCTCCCACTTCTCTCCCCCTCCCCCCACTCCTCTTCCCCTCCCTCTCCAGTCTGAAGAGCAGTCAGGGTTCCCTGCCCTGTGGAAAGTCCAAAGTCCTCCCCCCTCCATCCTGGTCTAGGAAGGTGAACATCCAAACTGGCTAGGCTCCCACAAAGCTAGAACATGAAGTAGGATCAAAACCCAGTGCCATTGTCCTTGGCTTCTCAGCAGCCCTCATTGTCCACCATATTCAGAGAGTCCAGTTTCATCCCATGCTTTTTCAGTTACAGTCCAGCTGGGCTTGGTGAGCTCCCAATAAATCAGCCCCACTGTCTCCGTGGGTGGGTGCACCCCTCGTGGTCCTGACTTCTTTGCTCATGTTCTCCCTCCTTCTGCTCCTCATTGGGACTTAAGTTCTTTTCTTATCCTAAGGAAAAGCCAGAACTACTGTGCGGCACATGAATGTATCACAGAGATATTGCATATTTTTTTTTTTAAAGACAGGTTTTCTCTATGTAGTTCTGGCTGTCCTGGAACTCATTCTGTAGACTCATTTGTAGGCTGGCATCCAATTCAGAGATCTGATTGCCTCTGCCTTCTGAGTGCTGGGATTAAAGGCATGCACCACCACCACCTAGCAAGAGGTATTGCTTATAATTATAAATAGTTAAACATGGACATTGAGGCTGGTCCAGCTTAAGACCCATACCAACAGTGGGAGTCCGCCCCTGGCACTGTCTGGAGGGCTAGAACTTAGAAACTGGACAGCCCAGAGTCCTAGGATAGACCCAAATATGTCTAGTGAAAAAATCAATGAAATCATTCCTATTGACATTCTGCTATTCTTTTTTTATACTATGCTATTCTTATAGATTGATGCCTAACTCAATTGTCATCAGAGAGGCTTCGCCTAGCAACTGTTGGGAATAGATGCAAAGACCCATCACCAAATATTAGGGGAGCTCAGGGAATCCTGTGGAAATGGGGGAGGAAGGATTGTGGGAGCCAGGGAGGACACCAAGAGAAAACCCACAGAATCAACTGACCCAGGCTCACAGGAGTTCACAGAGACTGAACTGACAACCAGGGAGCCTGCGTAGGACTGACCTAGGCCCTCTGCACATACGTTACAGTGTGTAGCTTGGTCTTCATGTGGGATTCTTAACAGTGGGAGCAAGGGCTGTCTCTGACTCTGTTGCCTGCTTTTGGGACCCCTTTCTCCTCCTGATCTGCCTTCTCCAGCCTTAATAGGAGAGGGGGTGCCTAGTCTTATTGCATCTTGATATGCCATGTTTGGTTGATATCCTGCAGAAGACATGCCCTTTTCTGAAGAGAAAGGAGGAGCTGGTAGGGAGAGAAGGAAGGTTGGGGAGAAGGACTGGAGGGAGGGGAATCTGTTATTGGGTTAGAAAAAAAATTAATAATAAAAGAAGAATGGACAATGATTAAGTAAACTATCTTACATTTCAATAGTGGAGTTCTCTATTATGTAGAATAATATTCAATAACAACAAAACTACTGGCAAACCATAGTATTTATTTTGAGTTCTATTTTGAGTTTTAGAAGTACATGGATACATAAGAAATGAACAGATAGCTTCTAAACATTTTGTTTAGTTACTCTGCTGTGTAGAACTAAAGGGATGAGTTTCATATTTTGCTCTTTTTCTCATACTCTTTTAAAAATATACATATGTTGCTTTCATATGAGGAAAAATATTCCAAATTTAAGGGAAAATGAGGCAAATAATGTCTCATAATCTTGAGGAAATTGTGCTTCCTTGGACTTTTAAACAATGGTAAGATATAGTGCTGGGTATATAGTAGACAATATTCATCAGATGTTGAAGGAGTATTATCTGTATTTAAGAGTAGTTATGGGCCGGGTGGTGGTGGTGCACGCCTTTAATCCCAGCACTCGGGAGGCAGAGGCAGGCGGATCTCTGTGAGTTCGAGGCCAGCCTGGTCTACAAGAGCTAGTTCCAGGACAGGAACCAAAATCTACGGAGAAACCCTGTCTCGAAAATCCAAAAAAAAAAAAAAAAGAGTAGTTATGGCTATAAGAAACTTCTACTTACATAGTGCTTTAAGAAGTATTCTTTATTGAGGAGGAGGGGGGAACAAAAGATTTTTAGTAAACACAAAAGAAACAATCTGACGACAGTGGCTGTTTTTAATAATTCATAACTTACCATTTCAGAGAATAATGTGGCCAGAAGGGGAGCATGTGGAACTGATTTGTCAGAAAATATATTTACCACTAAAAAATTGACCCATAAAAAGGAATCACATGATCATCATTTTAGAAATAGAGCTGTCGTTCCTCATACTTCATCAGAATGCTCGGAAGATGACCAGGTACTTCTGTTTTATGTTCATAGAAACAACTTGAAGAAGAGGGTGTTTTTCCTAGGAGAAGAAGCCATTGTGACAGCACTTTGTTGAGAATTAAGTCATTACATGCCAGTGTTTGATAATCCTCAGTTTTTGGTAAAAACTTCTTAAGGATCTGCCATGCATAATGCTTTATAAAATTATATATTTTGTTTTTAATAAGAGAGTTCCCTTTTCTACTTCTTTTTTTTCTTTCTTTTTCCTGTCCTAAACTTATCATATTTAGAGTTAAAGTAGAAGCCATTATCTTGCTTTTTCTCAGATTTGGCTTGTAGGTATTAGATGGTGTTTTCTAATCATCAAAATGTCATCAACAGTATTCATCTCTTTGGCTATCATGATTAATTATCAAGGAATGATAATTCATAGTGTTATCTTTATAAGCCGCTGAGTTTTGATTAATTTTTTGTTTTTGTTTTTTGAGACAAGGTTTCTCTGTGGCTTTGGAGCCTGTCCTGCAACTAACTCTTGTAGACCAGGCTGGCCTCGAACTCAGAGATCCGCCTGCCTCTGCCTCCCAAGTGCTGGGATTAAAGGCGTGCGCCACCACCGCCTGGCCTTTGATTAATTTTTTAAGTCATTTGAATTTCTTTTTTCTGTTTGCAAGTGTTTTCTGTGTGATATTATGGACAGACTTATACTTGATTTTGGTTTTATAAGGGTCAGAAGTCTCTGTGATAGAAATATAGAACAGAGGTCTATAATTCATTTTCTTAGAGCTTGCCTCTAGTGATGCTAGATGAGATATGAGTCGCCTTCCATAAATGATTCACGTTCTACTGGTGATGATTAAGATCATACTAAATATAGGGAGGCCTAGAATTTTTATATTTCCCTGTCCTCTTGTAGCTTGACAACATTATAGAAGCAGTCTCTATTTGTGTATCAGAGGTTCACTGTGGGGAGGACTTCGGAGGTGGAGCAGCTGTCTATTTTGTACACAAGCTGGATTTAAGCTTGTGCTCACCTGCTAGATATTGGAGGAGCCTAGGGTACCAGAATTACACTTAGACTTGCTGAAACCTATTCCTGCACCATTGCTGTAGCTTAGAGAATCTTTCAGGTAATGCTAGGAATAGAAACTGTTATTTCCTGACTGTGTTCTTACTGTGCTTTCAGATAGTGATTGATGAAGGCCAGCAAGTTGGCAGCTCCCTTCAAGGTGACATGACCCAGGCTGGAAAGGTCAAGGTAAAGCCAGACCCAGTTATCTGCCTTGGGACGACTGCACATAAACAAATGAACTGTATTAGCAACTTGTCTGTTACTGTGATGAATCCCCATGACCAAGGCAACTTTGAAAGAAAGAGTGTAGAGATAAAAGTCTGTCATGGCGGGAGGCACAATAACAAGCAGCAGGCAGCAGGAAGCCAAGAAATCACATCTTCAGCCACAAGCTGGAAGCAGAGAGTGAACTAGAAAGCAAGGCTTTTCAGTCACAAAGCCCACCTCCAGTGACAGACTTCTTCCAGCAAGGCTTTGCCTCCTAAACCTAGCAAGCAGCATCAACAACTGACATCAAGTATTCGATTACTAGAGTCTATGGGAGACAGCTCTTATTCAAACTTCTGTACAAACCAATAGACAAACGTTAGACTCTTGCTTTTCTTTGAACAAAACTGGAGATTCACCAGATTTTAGTCTTGAAAGGCTCTCTGTCTCTCTGTCTCTCTCTCTGTCTCTCTCTCTCTCTCTCTCTCTTTTAAATTGGTGTTGGAACATCTTAAACTGTTTGTGCTTGACTGGGTTTTGGATCTTTTTTCCCCAAGGTTTAACACATGGGAAGGGAATTTTAGCATACTCATTAAGAAGAAAGATGCTATAATGTAACTGATTCTCAAATATGAATATTGAAGCTGTCACATGGAAAGTGAATTTTGCTTTTGCATTTGCCCGCTGAGTAATAGTTGTTGTTACCAGGTTAGAGGCATGGAAGCTACCGTTTTCGCTTTCTGTGGGGTGGGCATGGTCCATAATCAGTTCAGGACCGAAAGACACAGCTTGCCTTGAATGCAGTTAAGGAATCTCAGTTTGTAACTTTAAGGTATTTTTTTATGTCTATCTTTAGGTTATGAGCATAAAACGGATAGCAACCTTGTGACTTTTTTCTATGCCATGTGCTAACATTTTCTTATTTACACGCTTTGATAGTCCCCTGAAATGCTTCATTGTCACTGTGCGGTGGGAAACGCTGTTTCATGTGGAATAGTTCTTCATTGAAATGCAGCTATTGGTCCTGGGAAGGTCATATGCTGGGCTTTTTACCTTTGAAGTAATTCTCAGTTTTTATTTGCCTGAAAGAGAGAACACTTGATATTTTGTCCTGCTCACCTCTCCTGTGATTTCCCTGGCAGCAAGATTTTGTTTTGAATGGACTTTTCCTTCCCGCTCTCTTTAGCTTCCTCTATCTGGTCTCCAGAGTGCTGTCAGAGAGCATGCTGTGCGGAAGGACGGTGGCCCACCACCTCCATCACTGGTTTCTTCACAAGCAGTAACACACAAACCCCGGGCCTGCTGTTTCCTCTGATAGTGGTATTAAAAATTTTGGGAAGAAAATTTAAAACAGAGTCACTCACGAGAAACCCCAGCCTGTTTTCTCTTTCTCTGTAGAGAGCAGGCTGTTGCGTTTTAAAACCTTGGGCTTCCAAATGTTGTGCTCCTACAGATGGGAAAGCAGATGCATACAAGGGCTTTTAACTGGGCCTGGAGAGGCCACAGGAAAGCAGGTCTAGGATGCAGCTGTGTGCATGGGTCCCTGACTACATCGCCTTTCTTCGTGTCTAATATGCAAGATAATCTCAATCTTCTTGCAGGTAGACAACTTCCTGGACTTAGAAGATTTGGACATGGAGGAAGAGAGTGAGCCCCAGATGAACACGGGTATGTGCTCTCTCTCTTTTTCATACTGTGTAACCGTGTTTTGGAAACTTCAAGTGATTTATGTTGCTTTGTTATTTTTGGCAGTCCTTACCTTATCTCCCTTGATGTAAGAAAAACTGAAGTTGTGAAATTTCTTTTTGAAAAGGAAAAACTTTTACTCAGTTTTTAAAGCCCTTATTTATTTATTTATTTAATTTTTTTTTAAAGCCCTTTCAATCTTATAAAACCTTTGGTCTAAGTGAAATAGAGCTGTCCCTTTCCTTTCCCTCAAATTTGGAATAAATTAAACTGTTAAATAATCGTGCCACAAGAACATGTGCTCCACTATGTTCATAGCAGCATTTTTTGTCATAGCCAGCATCTGGAAACAACCTAGATGCCCCTTGACTGAAGAATGGATAAGGAAAATGTGGTGCATTTACATAATGGAGTACTGCATAGCAGGAAAAAAATAATGACATCTTGAGATTTGGAGGCAAATGGATGGATCTAGAAAACATCATATTGAGTGATGTAACCCAGACCCACAAGACAAATATCATATGTATTCACTCATAAGTGTCTTTTAGATATAAAGCCAAGAAAACCAGCCTACAAATCACAATCCCAGGGAACCTAGACAACAAAGAGGACCTCAAGAGAGACATACATGGATCTAATCTACATGGGAAGTAGAAAAAGACAAGAGAAAGTGGGAAGTACACTTGAACGCACTGGCACAGGAGACTACTTCCTAAATATAGCCCCAGCAGCACAGACACTGAGAGAAACAATTAATCAATAGGACCTCCTGAAACTGAGAAGCTTCTGTAAAGCAAAGGACACGGTCAACAAAACAAAATGACAGCCTACAGAATGGGTAAAGATCTTCACTAACCTCACATCAGACAGAGGTCTGATCTCCAAATTATACAAAGAACTCAAGAAATTGGTCATCAAAAGAACACATAATCCAATAAAAAAAAATGGAGTACAGACCTAAACAGAGAACTCTCAACAGAGGGATCTAAATGGCTGAAAGACACTTGAGGCAATGCTCAGCATCCTTAGTCCTCAGAGAAATACACTGCATTTTTAGCCATTCCACTATTGTTTGAGCTTGACACTGTGAGACTACTGGTTCTTGTCTGTACAAAACATTTACAAGGTAAAATCAGTGTTATCGGTGGGCAGGAGAGTGCCTGTATTGGGCATTATTGTGGTACAGTTTCTCACTTCCTTCTTGCAGTGAGAAGGTCTGTACTTGTCACCGGTCGTGTGGCTTGGTGTTCTTTTGCTCTTCCCAATAGAAACTGCATATCTGAAGAGAATCTCTGTGAGTGGTGGTATTTAGCAGATTTTTATATCCTTTAGCATTTGATAGCAGTGATCTGCAGTCACAGACAGGAGGGAGCAGCAGCATGTAGCACCCTCTAGAATTGTAACTCTCCTGCTGGCTCTGATGAGTGGGTCCCTTTGCTCCACTTGTTGGTTCAGCTATTCTTGTATAGGCCTAGGGTACCAGGACTCTTAGGCAGGGCCAGTTTTGTATCTCCAGGGCTGAGGGTATCCGAGAGCCTTGGCCCTCCAGACTTCAAAGCTCTCTCGGGCTCTTCCAGTGAGACTGACAGTGTTTTGCTGGAGAGTGAATGTATTTCAGGAGCTGCTCGTTGTGTGGCTATTGTGGATTTTTCTCAAGCTGTCTGTAGAGGGTTGAGACAGCCCGTATAATCATCAGTGCAGTTCACCTGACTGTGTTCAAATCAGGTGGTGAATGCTGCCAGTGTAACATGGGATAACAGCTGTTAATTAGGGAGTCACATTGTCCCAGCCCCAACATCTTTCTTTATAGGAAGATGATCAGGATTGCTTACAACAAGAACCTAGAAAGTGTATCACTAATGCTAATAGTTATTTTGTTTAATAGTGCTGAACACCAGGCAAGTATATCAGGGAGAGATGATAAGCTAATAAAACAATGTGGCTAGTAAATTTAATATTTTTTTACATTGACCTTTACTAATTTTTGTTCCATTTTTTTAAAAAACATTTTCCAAGTATGCTATTCAGTCACCTGGTTTATTACTTTCTTTTAAAAAATGAATAAAAAGATCTCAGTAGTATTATGTTTCCAGAAACTAGATAGCAGGAGGTCTTCCATTTGTGTATAAACAGTTACTGAGGCTGAACCAAGTCTCAGTGGACTTGAATGAAGTAGTTAAGACTGTCTCTTGTGTGAAATGATGTGTGAATTGATGGCTGGCAGTCAGTTCAGTCTGCAGTGATCTATTCTAATTACCAAAAGCCACCAAGGTTTCCCAATTTTCATAATGTACAATCTGGGTCACTTGAAAGGAAGAAAGAAATTAAATACTTTGTGCCAAGGTGAATTTCAGTGTGTGGCCTAATTTGTATTGCACTTCAGGAATGTAAGCAGAAGGCAAATATTTATATCAGATGGGAGATGTGACATTTTTAAATAGGCAAGTTGCTTTTATAATTTTGGCAGCTGGGAGGTTTACTGATTAGATTCTGTTGTTACTGTTTAAGCAACAGATTTGCCTGGGGCAACAGGGAAACACGTTTTTGTATTGCTTTTTCTATCACTGATTTTATTTGTTCACTGTATTCACCTTTATAAATATTCTTCAAGATTCAAGAGCACCGTGCTTTTCCAGTGTGTGCCTTGTTATTTTGGCAACCAAGGAGTAGAGTTTAGAGTCCAGTTTTTGGCAGAATGAACACCATGTACTGATATGTGTAGCCCAGGTATTATAAGGCTTGGTACCCTCTGTTCTTTTGATATCATGTTAGTGTCGTGGTGTTCAAATCCACTGGAGAAATCAGAGACTTAGACTCAATTCAAATTTAGAGTAAATGAATTTATTCTTTTTAAAAAACTTTTTATTGATTCTTTGTGGATGTCACATTGCACATTCCTATCCCATTCATCTTCCTGTCCCTTTGTATCTGCCCTCTGCCCTTGCAGACCCTCCCCAGTAAAATAAAATTTAAAAGAAAAAATCTCACTGTGGAAGCTGTGATGTTGCAGAGTGAGCCGCACAGTGTACCCTTTAGTCCTTACGCCTTTACTTGCAAGGGTTCGTTGGCTTCTGCTATGCTACCAGTACTAGGCCCTCGCTTTTCTCGGATATCCTGTTGCTGCCCTGTGCCACTGAGATCCTGCAGCTTTGCATCTGCAGGATCAGCCCCTTCATGTGCTCCAACAGTTCATAGATGAGGTGGATGTTGGGTTGGGCCAACCGTTAGCCCTGGTTCTGGCCTTGGGTGGTAACTGGGTTGGTTAGCCTTCCAGTTCTCTTTCATCCTCACCACCAGGGTTAACTCTCCAGCATTGCCCTGCTAGCTCACCTAATGCAGCAGGCAGCAAGGGGTGGGGCCTGTTCTGCTCTCATGCCATCTGGGTGCTCACTCACACCCATGCCACCAGGATCAGCTGAGTTGCCCAGGTGAGGTTCAGGATCCACTCTTCCTAGTGCTGCTGCTGGTGAGGGCCAGGGACAGCTCTCCTGCCCTCATGGTCCCGAGGCCAGTTCTCCTGCCTTCTATAAGTGGCCAGTGTTGACAGAAGTTTTCTGTCTCACCCAGTCCCACAGCCATTCAGTCCCAAAGAAACACACAGAGGCTTATATCAATTATAAACTGGTTGGCCTGTTAGCTCAGATTTCTTATTAACTAACTCTTATATCTTAGTCCATAATTCTTGTCTGTGTTAGCCACATGGCTTGGTACTTTTATCAGTGAGGAATTCTCATCTTGCTTCCTCTGTGTCTGGGTGATGACTGCAGACTGACCCTTTTCTCTTCCCAGAATTCTCCTATTCTGGTCGCCCTGTCTATACTTCCTGCCTGGCTACTAGCCAATCATCATTTTATCAAACTAATACAAGTGACAAATCTTTACAGGGTAAAGACCATTGTCCCATAGTAGGTAAGGGGTGGTGGGGGTCATCTTTCCCCTGCTCATGCCACTACATGGCAGATGGGAGGGTGGGGCCATCTACCCCACTGTCATTCCCTCAGGGCCAGCTTACCTGTGCCTGTCAACAGGGTCAGCTGTAATGTGCTGCTCAGACAAGATGCAGAGCCTGCTCTCCTATGTGCTGCAGTTGATGAGGGGCAGAGCTAGCTCTCCTACTCTTGTGACCCTGGGGCCTGCTCTCTTGCCTGCCACAGGTGACAAGGGATGGGGGTAGGATGGGGAGGGCATCTTTCCCTCACCGGTGTACTACATGGTGGATGAGTGGGGGCAGGGTGAGATCTCCTGCACCCATACCCATAGGACAGCTCATCCGTGCCCCTGGCAACAGGGTCAGCTCTACTGTGCTACCTGGACAAGGTGCAGGGCCTGCTCTCCCCAGTGCTGTAGCCAGTGAGGGGCAGGATCAGCTCTCCCACTCTCGTGGCCCCATGGCCAGCTTTCCTGCCTGCAGTAGGTGGCGAGGAGTAGTAGTAGCAGCAGTAGGAGCCAAGGCTCCTGGGGGTGAGGGTGCCATCACTCCCTCACCCACACTGCAGTGTCTCAGATTGTGGGGCTAGCTCTCCCACTTCCATGCCTTCACGCCTGTTCACCCACACCCCTGCCAATGGGGTCATCTCTACTGTGATATCCAGGCAAGGTGCAGGGCCTGCTGGTCTGAGTGCTGCAACTGGTGAGGGGCAGGACCCGTCTTCTAGTCTCAAGACCCTGGGGCCAGCTCTCCTGCCTAGCAGAACTGCTACCTTATACTATGCTAGAAGTGGTGGTTAGAGGGTGTGGGTAAGGGCAGATATCAGAAAGGGCAGATGCATTACAAACAGCAATAGAATTCACAGCTGGGCAAGAAAATTGTTTTTGCTCCCCTCAGTTGTCTTTTTCTTCTCTGTATATAGTGATAAAAGACTATTTCATCCTCCTTTCCATAGCAATGAGGTTTTACAGAAGCAAAGGCAGCTGTTACTACCTCACAGCCCATTATCCTATTCTATCTCACCTGCAGGCCACTAGGATCTTCCAGGCAT